CGTAGTACGGGGTCTCGCTGCTCTTGGTCTGGCTGCTCCCCCTTGGCCTTCCTGGCATGGTTGCACCTTGTGGAACGAAGCTCCAGCCAGTGTAGCCCGCGGTATCATTGCAGCACTGAAGCCCGACCACCACGTCAAGGTGGCAGCTTTAGGTCGGGACTAATCAAATCATTGGATATCAATGAACCGATTTGACCACTGTCTCAAACGCATGGCTCTCATTCTCTTGTTCTGCAGTAGCTGAAGGCACCTTGATGTCAAGGTGGCAGCTTTAGGTCGGGACAAACGTAATCATTGGATATCAATGAACCGATTTGACCACTGTCTCAAACGCATGGCTCTCATTCTCTTGTTCTGCAGTAGCTGAAGCCATTGCACCTTGATACATGGTTTGTGAGCTGGAAAACTGAACTGAATTTTCAGCACCAACGTCTCGATCTCTGATAACGAATATGAGGATGGTGGTTTTTGAAGAACGTTTCCGCTAATGACTGAACAAGCGTACACAATAAGCTACAGATGGCACATACTTACAGGACTTGGTGGACACGGTTGTTCATATCTGAGGGTTTTACTTGTTTTTCCCCGTAATCGTATGCACTTTGATTCATACTATTGTCTGTTTATCCTTCAGTCAACTTAACCCAAGCCTTCTGCCTTACTCGCTTATCTCGTACGCTTCGAAGACCTGTGTATAGTGTTCGGTCATGGAACACCTAGATGAGATCATCCTTTTGGCCGGAAGATTCGCCCAATTAAATGGTAGGTGATATGTTTGATTATTTTCGCCAGGAATTCTGAAGAAGAACGGTGATTTGATTTCCCCACTATCTTGCACTTTATTGCCATCTCCGTTTCCTCTCCAATCGTTGGAATTCGCACGATCCATTCAGCAAGACTTCAACCTGCTGTTCCATAAAGTCGCCGGAAGCCATTCCTTTCTGGAATCGCTTATGACACAGTACAAAGCAGTTCACATTGATCAACCGTATCGTTAAGTATCATAGAACACGATGACTATATGCAACACCTTTGGGATATTTATAACCGCGTCCGACAGCAAGATCGAATGCAGGTACGTGATTGTAAATGCACTACGATAGCCTTAGAATGCTCGTTACCTTGTTGCATTAGACAGTAAGGGGGAAAATCTTGTTGGATTTTCTAGAAACCTTATCTAGGTCTTATGAGTCCCTTTTTCAACCTGACCCAGTCCACCCAGACAAATTATTGAATCCTGTATCTCCTGCTTTGGTTGTGAAAATTATTGATCCTTTGTCGCCTACTTGTCTTTTTTTGCTTGTATAGAGCATCTTTCTGGGTCTCAATCGTTCGGATTACATGCTTCATCAGGATCCAAATATAGATCCACGGTTGAAGGAGTCCATCGATGAACGTCTCCGCCGAACCGACCGGTCTGCTCAGTTCCATGCGAACGCCCACTATGATTGGCAAGGCTTAGTTCTCCGTCAAGTGGAATTCAATTTAATGGCTTCTAGTTTTTGTGGGATGTCACAGCGTGTTGTCCAGCAGCATCGCCAATGTCTTTCTCTCTGTGGCTTCTCTGAGGAATCTTTGATCCGAGTGAGTATTAACGATGATCGAAGTTATCATTTATTTAGAGACCTTGCCAGCTCTTGGTTTGGTTCTCTGCTTTATCGCTCCACTCATTCGTATCATCACCATCGGCAGTATAACAGCAGCGTTCAACACCGATGCTTCGCTACCGTACAAACATGATTTATTGAAAGCCTTATTGTGAGGAAAAGAATAAAAGTGGACGGAAAAGGGACTTAGTGATAGCTCGATACAATCAATCCGAGGTGCCTACACCTCAAAACACTCACAGAGGCAGTCTAGATGGTCCAGCTGGTAAGAGCGCGACTTTACTGACCGGAAGGTCTGTGGTTCGAACCCGACCTCCGCCTCCCGACTTCCCCTGTCTAGGCTTGGGCAACCTGGCAGTATCCCATCCCTCGTGCTTCCTTCGGGTAGCATGGCAGCTAGGCACCGGAAGGGTGCTACAGCTGAACGCTTTAGATAGAAACTGACAACAAGATTGCCACTGAAGTTGGTTGGCAGCCATATCTTACAGCGTTTCCAATCAGGTGCATTAGGGATCACGCGGTCCCCATCCTGGAAGGCGACTGGCAGCGACAGCCCCCAAACGCTTCGTAATTTCTCCCATACCCCTCTGGCAGGTCAAGGACTGGCCACCACTCTGCTTCCGTCACTCTGAATTGGGCATGGAAAACAGCACTATTTTCGCCAAACGGTGATTAGTCATACGCAACCAACGCAGCTTCTGGTGCTGGACACACTTCAATGGAAGTACCCGTTGCATAACCGAAGACTCGCTTTCCAATCGCCCCGTTACGGGTGCGTCGAAACCAATCATCATTGTCAGCTATAGTAACCGCGTACTCGTCGTACTGTGGTTGTGGCTGCCGCGGTTTCGCTCACCGATGATTTGGGGGGGGGTAGGTAGCTGCGTCGAAACCAAACCACACGAGCTATGGTTCTGAGGCAACGATTGTCGAACATTTGAAGACGTCTCAGTTTCGCTGCTCGAACAGGCCAAGTTTCATAGCTGCACAACAAAACAACCCGCACTGTAGCTTGCTATACACGTCCCTTGAGATTCAGGCAAATGTACTACTGTTCGTACCCTGCCTTCTATTCAGTAGCAAGGTCCTTGTAGTACATTGCAGTTTTGTACTATAGTGTCCACATATTCTTTCGAAATCACTGTCTGGTTGAAAGTCTGAATGTTTCTTGAATTTCAATTTTAACAACCCAGTGCGTTACCAGCTTCTTTCAGTGTCTAGTAGATGCTACAAGTGCCGAAGGTCTTCTGTACAACTCTGTCAGCTATTAAAAACCCGAAGATATTATCTTATCGGTAGCAACAATCAGGAGTCATCATGATGTTTCACTGTTTATCCTTACTGCGAACAAATCATCAGCCTACAGATGAGTCTGTTGTAATAAAATAAAAGAAATCGTTTTGCTATAGTAACACCCTTTCGGTGCCTAGCTGCCATGTCACCCGAAAGAAATACCTGGGCTGAGTTTCTGCCAGGTCGTCGGACCTTGGATAGCAATGGTCCAGATGCCGAAGTTTGGTTCGAACCACAGAATTTCCGGTATGTATGTTTGCCCTTTAACCACCGGGACACCTCGAACTCCGTTGCTATCCCATTCTGCTCCTTCTGGATGCTGTATCTCAAACTTCTGCGAATATTTTCCATGTACAACACAGTAGCGACCCGAGAATGCATGCTGGCACATTTGTTGTTCTGAGTGTGCTGACAAAAATTGTAAAAGCTGTTCGTTAGTAAACAATGAGGTAATAACATCCAACTTGGACAATGAAGAAGGGATCATTTACTCGATTCTCGTCCATCCCACCTAACCACATGCAAAACTGAGAGTAGAAGCAGCTGAATCAGTTGATCGACAATTGGACCACAACTACCTTGCTAGAAAGCTCACTGCACAGTTAGAGTGAAAGTAACTTGAGCAAACGGATGATTATACAGTTGAGAGGCAAAGTGATCAGGGGTGCACCACATGGAACATACTGTTTACTGAGATTTTGCCTTCATGGGCGTTTTCATGAACGTGAACAACAGTACTGACTCAAATGCTTGCCCCCCCCGCGGAACCACAAAACATTATTTTGCAAACTTGACTTGGGGAAAAGACGAAAGCGAACAGAGTACACTTGATGCAAGCGTACCATGAGTATTCTGGGGTACTCAGATCTAACTAAATTTGTACAAATGCACTGACACAGAGCGTTTGATTAATTCAATTCTGGGGGTGGCACGGTTGTCCAGGGGGAGTTGGGACCGGCGCAACCGAAGTTGAAATAAAGGATTCCTCTGACGTAGAAATGGATGCTTCTTAAGTACTTTGGTGAGGTTGATCAGATTTCTCCGGTAGCCCACCGTGGTACCGGCCTTGTTTGAGACTAATCGGGGAGTGTTTTCCGAGTTAAATCAGTTTTCTATCCTGAACGATATAAAGAAGGTTTATTCGCAGCTGATGCAAAGCTCGCATTTGCACCTGTTTGATACGTAACCATATTCTAGTTGAAGTGTAACATGTTTTACTGGTAAGTTTGCTCGATGAATCAAGATTTCCTGGTTTCCCGATGAAGTTTCATATTTAACCCCTCTAGATGGCACGTTTTGGTGGTTGTTCTTACCCGTCGGGAAAAATGAACCTCAATCTATTTAATGATATGCTTTCTTCCTAATGCGGAGGTAAATTTGGAAGCCATGCTTTCCGACATCACTGTGGGATCATCCGTTGAAACCGTTCACCGGGTGACGCCAACTTATTCATCATTGAAATGGTATTCCTTTTTGAGCTGTGTAGACCGTTGAACCAAGAGACGACCCAACTCGAATGACTGGTGTGTAGTATTTTTGGGCCCACCTGCTACCGCCTGACTTTGTCCCTACAGAGGAAATAAAATGTTTATGTTAATGAATGCTCGCATCACCATACTTTCGGGCAGCGAACCCTGTCCCTAGAAATCTACTGTTGGCACGAGTATCTATACTGTTTCACTTAGCGCGACAATTTCTACTTGGTTATCTTTTCAAATAAGGAAGGCTGCTTTTCATAAGAATTGTTTGCCTGCTGGATGGCCATTTTTATACATTGCCGGCAGGTGGCTCTTTATGTGACCGCTTTTCGAATGCCTCACGAAGACAGATTTTGAGATGGGAAATGCTTTGTTCAGGTGAAAGTTAACTTTGTTAATGTCCAGTGTGGGGAAAACTGATTATACTGAACTTCCACCCGGTTTCCAGTATGCCAATAACAGTTTCCAGTCATCTGAGTAGCTCTAGAAGGGCAGTGTAAAGGTTAATGTCGTATCCAGACTTGGACAACTTGGCAGGATCTCAGCCATCGTGCTTCCCTCAACTGGCGTAACGGCTGTGCATCGAAGTGATGTTGCAGCTTAACGATGGTCCGTATGGCCATCACGATGATTAACCATAACTGGCCACTCATAATGAACTTTAGTGACATGTCTGTTCGACGTTTGCAAATAGATTTGGAAGCTGAGTACATCAAACGTTTAAAAAGGGCCGTCTTCATCCTTATCTTACAGGTGCTTTGTATGCAAGTATGAAACACCCAGTGAGCATGATGATGTCACTTTTGAACTCAGCCTGACAGAAAAGTGATACCGCTACTGGTTAACTAACACGTCATCATCAGTCATCAGACGGTAATCCGTTATAGATCAGCTGTCTGTTCTGTTCCGAAGGGTGTCTAACAAAAACTTTCTAGTGAGTTAGAGGCTACTTGCGTTGTTCCCATACTAATAACCTTTTGCAAAAATTTAGATTTTATACGTAGTGTATTCCCGTGTTATCATTTTGGTCGATATCATTGATCCCTGTCACTACCCACCTATACAGGATGAGACCAAGTGGAGACTAGTTATCGCTGTTATATCCCGTAGCTTTACCTTTCTTGAAATCTGTGTTGAAAGTACCTCGAAATTCCCGTGAAATTCGAGGGTTGGACTTCACAAGTTTCGATGGTCTGCACAGAAATCCTAATTAGTTTTTTTTTGCTTTTTGTCCATCATCATACTTCACTCAGCCGCAGTTGTTCCCTTCTTTCACAGGTACCCGAATGCAATGCGGCTGACAACTTCGCCGATGCTATGGCAACTGCGGTCCAACTCTACCTGAAAGAATGCGGACAGTCGTCAAGCGGAAATTTATCAGTTGCCGCTGTAATGATGGTTGTCTCGTCCACAGAATCAAATGCATACGATCAAGCTGCCTTGTTCGCCAGTCTTGTATCGAGGCATCCACATATTCCCGTTATGATACGCACATTTGAGGACCTGAAGGCCACCACAGGTCGGTTGAAACTAGACGATGATTTGAGGTTGTTTGTGTAAGTCTCATGATTTCGTCCAACGGTTTGTTTTCTGTTGCCACGTTAACTGCAACGCTGCTTATTAACCCTCGTCTCCTTTGACACCATGAATTAGTTTTTTTATATGGATTATATCGCAAACTACTCCATTCGCATCAACTGAACCTTTAAAAATTACGCTAAAGTCGTCGTCGAATACAACTGAACAGCACCTTTGGTTAGTAGCGTTTTCTGTTTATTCCTACGACGATGGATGCGTCGCATACTGGTCGCTGTTTAACCCGTATGATTGGCTGTGATAATTTGTGCAAGTAACTAGCTATATTACGGGTTCAGCGTATCTAGTGAACCTGTAATTGCTGACTACTGTTAAGGGTTCCTGCAGTTTGGCGGACTGCGATTAGCTTTCTGGTTTTATGTGGAGAGATCGATGTTGATCATTGGATGTAGTATGAATTACTGGTCGGAAGGTTCATTGTTTAGGCCCACCACTGGATGTTCTATTACTACTGGCTGGGCAGCTAGGGCGAGATACCTCAGTGGTTAGAGCGCGAATTTACGAACCGGCATGTCCGTGGTTCGAACTGAACCTCGGCATCTCGATTTCTCCCGTCTAGGCATGGGTTACCTGACAATATACCAGCCCTCGTGCTTCCTTCGGGTGACATGGTAGCCAGGCACCGCAGGGATGTTACATCTGAACAGTTTTTATTGGCTAGACTGATAATCTCCTCTCTTCTGAGCTACATGACAACAGTGGACTGGGAGGATGCCTTAGCTGCATTTTTTCAACCCAAGGGCATCTTCGAAGCGGTATAGAATCCAATGACTTCACACATACATTTGTTATTAAATTATGAGCTTTTCATTATAGGCGAGAATACTAGCGGCATAATATCTTCAAAAGAGGCAGTTTGGTCCTTCCCATTTTGTAACCTCTTTGGAAATGATCAGCGGTCAGCCCAAATCCGCTGCCACGTCTGCTTTAAAGCAACAAGCTTAAAACTAAGATTAAACGCAAATCCCTGCTTAAACTACACTTTTATTCAAGGATGACCGTCAGATTGCAATAATACTGCCCCCCTCCAGAAGAAACTCCTTCTATTCCATCCACGCTGTGATGCTTGGCCATTTCCACCGCCTCGGTCACTAGTGTGAGTCTTAGTCCTTGTCTTTAACTTTCACCTGATATTCATCTACGTTTTTTTTGTAGCCTATTTATGTATTGCTTGTGCTCACCGACCTATATAAGCTTTCGTACAATCGCTACATTACATTTTTATGTCTTCGACTGCCTCATCTACAGAGAGTTTCGTTTGCCCTTGCAACCTTGTTTCTGCAAGTAACAACCGAGTCGCTACTTCCAGAGCGTACGCAGCTGAAGGATCACCTTCTGGTTGATAGGACTATGGATTGTGTATACAAAATAAGCTGTGGCGCCTGCACGATAGTTTACATGGATCAAGCAACCGTGGTGTTGAGAAACAGTTCCGAGATGTCTTTAGCACTCCAGTGTCGTTCCATAAGTTAAGCAAATTTGGAATGAGTTCGACTACAAATTCACCCGTCGCTTATCGGTTTGTTTTGAACATACAGAGCCAGGTTAGTCTCTCTTTAACCAACGAACAGAGTGTATTGGGTATCGCGGATGTGATTTTCAACCACTTGTCAAGTTTTTGTTATGTTGGATCCGGAGGGTTACTCCTCTCAGACAAATTATTTTCTCAAAGGAGCTATCCTCTCGACATCCCTTAAGTTTATGTTACTTATGGAGAGGGAGTGAAGCACATAGCGCCCAAACATCTTAAGAAAATTGCTCCATCAGCCGGCTCTGTAGCGGGGTCTCGTGTTTCTCAGAATCCCCGTCCTCGCAAGCCTTTTCATTCGTCCGTAGTTATTCGTCGTTTTACCATTCTAGGGCGATCGCGATCTACTCGTAATTTTTTCCGTGCTGTATCTCTATCCACTTTGTTATCCGTTTCCCCTTTGAGGGGAAACTTGTACAGGTCATACCAGAATCTTCTCCTTGACCTTGAATAATCTCAAACACCCCCAGTGCTGTATCCTTGGTCGTTTACTTTTTTCTGAAATTTGTCAAACGTTATAGAATTCTTTCAGCTTGTCGACTGATTCCCCAATCGAACTTGGTGTGAAGGTTTGCGTTACGTGGTGTTGAGTGCGAGTGCGGTGTTGTTATCCCGTCCGGATTCGTCCAGCCTACCGTTATTCTTCGTGCAGTCTAATCCCTGGTTGCTATATTCACATCCTTGAGCATCAACTGCAGGCTAAGCTGATGTCCTTGTGCTGACTGTGATAGTATGATCAATCAGCGAACGCTCCATCAGATGTCGCAACCCTCCAGATATTTTACGGGCAATGTATATAGTATACTGCATACTAAAAGAGATTGAATGGGTACCTCAAAACCTTTGCTTGATACTATGCCCTCCATTAACTGACTTGTTCACAATAGACACGCATGTTTCGCGAAGAAAACGTCGAGAAACTTCTCGGAATGAAGCGCGGAAATTGCCCCGCATGCATCCTATCTTGTAGGCCATTCGCGGTTGTCTTCCGTTCCCTCAATCTGGCAAGGGAAAGAAAACTCACTTCCTTATCTGTGCGCCTCCAGGGAAGCCAACCAGTGTAGTCCACCACTCAGAAATGCGGCATCGATGTCTTGGGTGCTGCATATTTCAACTTGAAAATGACAAAACAGCCTTTTTGTCGGTGTGATGGTACTGCACCCTTAGTTGCCACTCGGTTTTCATTCTTGAATGTGTGGTTAGGTGCCATAGAAACAGATCAGTCCTTGTGTGATATTTAGAAGGGTTGTATAACAGGGTTGTAGAACAAAGATATGTGCAACAGGCCAAATCCACCGTCCAATAAATATTCGGGTTGTTGGACAAGAACGGTGAAGAAGACCCCACCGAGTTAGAGGACCGCCGGCCGGAAGTTGTCTATCGCGAATGATACATGTTAAGGTCCGTCCTCGTTCATATATGACGTAGTCGATCAACCACAACAATAGACCCTCAAAAGGATAAATAATCCTGACAGCAACCTCATGCTGCACCTTGGTATTCGACTCTCGCATTGCGCCAGTGGGTTGCATTTAGAACTAAGCAATCCAAATGATGTCAGTCAGCCCTACTCCCTTGAGGCTTTGGTTTTGGTTAGTTCTGTTCATCAAAACGTGTTCTGAATTTGAGTAAAATTATTTGTTAGCAAAGTAATGTACACTTGGTAGTGATCAGCTTATTCGGTGGATACTAAACGTCTGTGCTCTGCACTCGATTTTCAAATATTTCGTAAGTTTTAGCACATCTTTTTGCGTCGAAAACTGCCAAACACTGAAGTCAGGCAGTCTTCCACTTTCAAGCCTAGTATAGGATGAACAACTGGAATCGCAGGCATTTTCAACGATAGGTGGACTCATGGACGGTATCGTTGGTTGGACAAAGAACTACTCTATCTGAATTACAAAATTGCAGGATGAGTCACTGTCGTTCGCTAAGCGTGAGTCTTCCCCCTCGATTCTTTTCTGCAAACCTCGTTGTAGCTTCCAGAGATCCGGTATAAGTTAATGGAATGGAATATATTGGCTTGCAGAATTTGGTTCCAAAAAAGCGTTCCGAACATATTCACTGTAAAGTAGATTGAGTAATTTTCGAGGAAATCACCGCAAACAACCAATGGATGTGCACTCTACCACAAACTATGAGTTTTCACTTGTTCTGTTTACTGTCACCTATTTGATGTAACCAAATTCTCCTGTTTTATGAGACATTTCTAGACGGTATGAATAGATGCACAAAATTTCCTTGTCATCGACACTTCTAAGATTGAGCAAATAAGGCACACCATAAATAATCAAGAAGCCAAGACGTTTGAGTCTGTAACACCGACCGTGGAATTCGCCAGTTTTCAACTTGGAGAAAAGACTTCGGAAGCGGCAAACGGTTTTCCATTTCTCAATATCTTCCGGTTTGGTGGCCAAGCATGTACGGGGGAGACGTAGCCCGCTAAGGGGAGACAAGTTTGTAGTTATAGTAGTTTCACTTGGCACCGGCATCGACGTGACATTTGTTTAGGTTTCTAAACCAGACACAATAGGACATAGGCGGTTGTTAACAGTGCAGTCCAGTTCATATTGGAGCTCAGTGCTTGTTCTGGGTTGAAGTGACCCAGTAAAATCTGACCATTTGGTGACAGTTGTGGAGGCAAATCGATCATAGTTTTCAGGTTTTTATTCATATGATAAACGAAAATTAGGTTATGGTGTACTCAGACCATGTGTGAAGAATGTGAGTTACGTAAGTGCCTTGTGTGTGCTGGGCTCTGGTCAAGCATATCTTCATTTGGAGTTATTAGTAAAACACAGGAGCTGAAGGGGATGGGCTCCTTTTGGCCTTTTCCTCTAAAGCGAAATTACATAACTCCATCTAAAGAAAATCGACATATGCCCTGTATGGCATAGGTGAATAATTGGTAGCACAATACCCGACCAGTTTGATTCATTTTTCACCAAGACTTCCGTTTCTTTAGTGTACTCTAACACATTCATTGCAATAAATCTGGTTGGAGATGTCCATTTCCATCACCTTTTTTGAGCATCTTGCGGGTCAAAGCCGTTCTTCCGGGTTATTTCATGAAGTCCTTTTGCTTCCTCAATTTTCAGCGATGGAAGACATGTGGGCGTGGTCTATTTTCGTTTCGGGTATGTTCCAGATCATTTTCCGAATGAGGAGGTAAGACGTAGATACAACGTTTTGCCATGTTTTAGTATATGATGTTGTCCATACCCTTTGGTTTGAAGTACAATGCATTTATAAAAAGACCTCAAAAGCTGAAAATCATTCTGATCTACTCCCTTCCACGTCTAAAAATCTGCGGCTTGAACGTTTACTTCGAATCCCAAGCTGATATTTACGAAGAAATCATCTCGGAATTTAACCGGTAGTTACCGAAAAACACGTGATCCAACCCCAATTACCCCAGGTTTTTATAGTCCGCAAAGTTGCCATTGGCTGACCGTCTCATCGCTTCTACTCTGGCTGAGACTTCGCAAAAGGCCCTCGTTGCGTGAGTCTTACCCATTCTGAGAAGAACTAGTGCTTTCATTAGGTCGATGAGAGTATATACATTTAGGCTATTACCTATCATTGCAATTTAGATCACGAGCCATTGGTCTGCTCACTCAGTTAGTTGGGTTGACAGGAGCCAGCTGGTGTAGTCAGTAGAGGCCGAAGAAGTAGAGCCTATCCACACTGTCTTATTGAGGCATCAAGAATCTGAACTATGGAGGAGGTTCAATCGCATGCATGAGCTATAAGCTCTGACTGGTCGATAATATAATGTCCTTCTGTCACCACATTCGATGATGCACCGCAAATACGGAGACTTGATTGTTATTCAGGTTACTTCATTCACAAATTGAGGACACAAGTTCCCCAAGTATTTTACAATTTTTCCATGATGTCTTCACGCTGATGGCACCACATGCCTTATAACAGATAATGTTGTTTCCTCTTCTGCTAGTACTGTCTCCTTTACACTGTCCGTCGATAAGCAGGCATTGCAAACTTTGTGTTTCAATGGAATTTTTATATTTGTTTTCTTGTTAACCTCGTGCTCTCTACACTGTCTTACTGATGGCGATTCACCACCGGTGTGTGCTGTTGGGACTGACTGAAAATAATTACCCCAACAAATTGGCTTCGTAGATGGTGTTGCTACCAATTCGTTCGTGAGATAGGTGAAGCTGATACGTTAATTCCTCAGCATCAATGACGGTGTTGTATGATTCCTGCCGCGTACTTTGCGTTCTACCACCAAATCGTGAAACGGATTGCTGTCCTTTGGGAAGAATTGTTAGCGATTGTTCGGCGAATCGGCAAGAACCTACAAACTGTCTACTCCGCCTCAATAGCCCTCATTCGTCCTCACATCCTCTGGTGCCTCGCCATTAACCGCCTGAGTGACATAACGGTATAAACGCCTTGATTCTGATTGCTCAATGAATCCAGGTACAGTACTCGATTGGTTTACTCGTGATCACCTCTCTGCACTTTATTCCACGCGTAATGTGACTGATGGCCTTGCAACCGTCACAGAGCAATTATTTGGGACGGTCCGTATGAGCTTCCCATGTCCCTAGCAATAAACCGAAAGTTACGTACCCTAAAGAATGCAAACAATGCCATTAATCGTCGTTGATAGTTTGGGTCTCTGTGACCACTCAAAGATTGTTCACTCACTCTACAACAATAACAACAACAACAATGCCCTGTGAAAATCCTGTTCACTCACTCTACAACAATAACAACAAGAGGTTTCTCTGTAGACAATGCCCTGTGAAAATCTATTGCTGTTTCCTTTCCGTATTGAGGTGAGAATTGGAGCTTTTCTAAAAAAAGGGCTTGAAGTGGATCATTCAGTAATACACCTGCATTTGTTCCGTGTTGTCTTCCTCCTGTTGAACTGTAGTGCACACAGCGTTGGAGTTAGGGACGGCTAATGGGGATTCAACTTTACTAACTGGAGTGTAGGGATCAAGCGTACCCTTGTTGGTAGACCATCGTAAGGGGATTTTATTATTCGTGACCTTGTAACCGATTTTGATATTTTTCAAAATCCCTAAAAACCGGTCCACATTTCCATTCCTACCCAGATATGGGACGTTAAGTACCAACTAGAACGGTCGATGGCAATCAAGTGTCCGTGTATCCAGTATATGCTCGCCAATACCAAACTGGTCCAAACTGCGCTCTCTAAACCCAGCGAACTCGCCAAATTTATAGATCCCAGTGAACCCAGTTACAGCCATATCTTGTCCACCTTCGCCAAACAATTCACCCTGACAGATTCATTTGGGCTGTTTGATCAGGAGGAGGTGGATCAAGTGATCGAAAATTGCCGCTCGGATCCGCATCTATATGTCCTCAAGCCACAGCGCGAGGGTGGAGGCAATAATTACTTCGATAGTATGTCTAATTTTCATTGCTTGCGATGTAGTGTGCGTACAGGTTTGTATACGCCTGAGCAACTCTAAAACAAAGGCAATCAATATGCAACTACCCGTAAGCTTCGGTGAGTGGTCACCGAAATAGAAGACAGTCAAGTTAATATCCCCTCCTCCTGAGGACTGCGACTTACCGACGGCTGTTCATACATCCATTTATTTTTATGCTCTTCTAACTCCGACCATGGAATTTCGTCTATACTAATCCGTTTGTTGTAATGGAAAACCCTATTTCCTGTTCGTTTAAAATGACTTTACTGCGTGATAGCACAGCTCTTTCTTAGTAGGTCAAAGAACTTTTTAGCATTTTCCGTACCAGGTTTGGAATCTTGGTGTTTTGAATATTCCTTACAGCCACAACCATATTACTCTAGGATACGATGTCGAATACCAAGATTTCTTTATTTTCCCTACGGGAGAGTCCTTTAGTGTACTCAAATCGAGCTCTTCCATAGAAATACCTTACATTGTATCATTGCTTTTGCCTCCACGTCACGAAGCAAGACTCAGTCGCCTACGGTCCCTTACCTCTAGCGAAACTATATCAGTACTGGTTCTTAGTTGTTATTTACAGCCACCAGATCTTCAGCGTTACTACGTTCGTCTGGTCCCGCTAAGTCCTCGTTGTTGGCTTGATGGGATGACTACTATCCAGGGGAACTACGCTATTTCCCTGTTAAATTAAAGGATAAAACTCACATAGCACACTTCACTTCAGGGACAAGTCCCGTAGGGCGTTCACATCTCTGGAACAACCGTTTTCAACCAGTACCACTAGTAGTATAGTGGGTCAAGAATATCAAAATTCTGCATTCCACACATGAAGTAAGTCCCACTGAGGCACTTGGACCTGTGCGTTGTATTCTTACATTAATATGATGATCTGTAGATAACTATTTATTCCACACCTAGCGTGAGCTCTTGTTTAAGTAACCGACAACGCCCAATCATATTTCGGTTGATTCCACATATTTCCGTCTTGTCTTCGCCCCAGATGAACTGGTCACGAAACTAAACAGCTTGCTAGAGCAAGGGGATCATTTTTCCTATATAATCATGGAGCGGCTGTTTCCTTTTATTGTGGAGAACTTCATCCTCACCTCACCGGATCCCACGAAGCGTCACGAGATGGTTAGCGAGCTGGGAATATTTGGGGCGTTTATCGGGTAAGTGTGCGTTTGTCAAATGTTGACGTGTACTGGCAGCCGTTTCGTTTTGTTTGAGACCAGGACGTTGGCACGATGGCACACGGTTGACTAAACTGTTGTTGAAAGTACACCACACACCGCACCGGCGTCCTCTATTTCTTGAACGTTCTGGTTCAACCACGCCTCTGTCACCACATGCTAAGTATTCAGCGTCGCGTGTAACTGCGATGACCGTGGCGCTCCCCGACGATGCCGCTTGGCGTGTTTCTGTAATTTTAGGCTCACATAGATGCTCTATTGCTAAATCGGGAGCTCGTTTTTAAGTTTACCGCGAAAATTTAATGAAAATCTGCACCGAATCAGGGTGCGGTTTGAATCAACCTATGTAGTCCAGAGCGATCGGCAATGAATGACTTAATCACGCCATTCGCAGCTGATATCCATCTAGTCAGTTTAACTCTTAGAGGACAAGAGAGTGTCTTCTAATGAATCAGAGCTAGAGCTACGTAACTGGGCACGATAAACAAGTGGGCGTTTAGCATTTCGATCAGTGTGAGTTTTCACACGGCACAGACTCGGTATCCAAGCGAGCCATGGAGTTTCAGCTCGTGAACTTGGGGCTATACTAAAGTAGGCGTAACCCACTACTACAGCTACAGAAGCGCTCGCAGTTGGCGGTCTATGGTGTCCAGGTGGAAGAGTTGCTATGAGGTCAGTCACCGTACTTGGATCTATTATTCAAATTTTAGAGATGCAGCTGACGTCAATCGGTAAGTTATCTACAGCACGCGCAAGCACAGCTCGTTGGCTGTTCTACACGTCAAATACTGTATTAAAAGCAGGAGAGAGTGAGAGAGAGGCCTGAGTAGCGGACTTAGAGCAAGAGTACGGTGCGAGTTCAAAGGCTTCCTTGGCGCATAGGTATCTTTACCTTACTGTCTGTTCTTCTGCCAGGCCAATCCTCACAGTCGGATGGGTTATTCGTGCTCCGGATGAGCTCTTTCAGGAAACACCTGACATTCGTTGCCTCACGCGTGATATCAAAGTATCGACCCCCGAGCGAAATGTTACATCCTCTATCTGTTTTTTGGATTAATGGCTCAAGTTGGCATGATTCTTCCTTGGCATCGGCTGTCGACGGGTTTTACTTGCCTCCTGAACTTATTCATCTTGGTAGATTATATCCTTTTCCACAATCAGACGTAAAGAATCATTGGATCGTCAACTGTCTGATGTATATCCCCTGTTCAATCTGCAGTGCTTTGAAGTCAAACTGGATAAAAGTCTTCAACACCCGTACTCTCTATCAAACCACTACACAGATTCGTTCAAACTTATCAACCTCAATTTAGACATTTGTTGTTTCTTCGAAATACGCATACGAGGCTCAAGTGTGGTCGTACTTCCAAAAACACTTATCACGGAACCGGTCTGTTCACACTCTGCTCTGTGTGCACGGAACCAGTCTCTTCACACTCTGCTCTGTGTGTGTTTGGTGATTCGCCCTGTTCTATATATGGTGCGGGAATTATGCGCACGACTGACTGTTTATTGGGTTTGTGCCCTCCGGTTATTCTGAAGAGCCTCAACACGAGATATGGTGCCTGTTTGTACTGTTCACTCATGATAGAAAAAATTCTTGCAATCGAAAACCGTCGTGCCCCTTTTCACCAACGAAGTAAGACAAATGCCAGCAAAGAAATTATTGAAGTGGATGGCCCAGCAGTTCAATCTAAAAAACGCCATACCGAAAGATGAACCGAACAGTTGGAGCAACGCAGATCTTGAAGAGTGGTTTGTGCACACTAACTACTCATCAGGACAAGAAAAGTCACGGATCCGGACGGATTTTACCCTGTCCTTAATGCAGTTGAGGACCTGTCTAATAGAACCTCGTGTTAAACGGAGTAAAGAAAATATACCCTCACTGCACTTCCAGTCACGAAAAGGATACTTGAACACTGCAGATATTATTGCGATACTAACTTGAAGATTGTCGCATTTGAAGTGTCTAATCCTGCGTATGGCGGCCTTGCTGGGTTTCGCCGCAAGTCTGCATAAATCACATCTTTCCTCTTCAATAAGTTCCAGAAGGGCAATACTGCTTTCAGTGACCAACACTGGTCATCCTGACCTGAGGAATGTTCTTGACTCTGGTGATCGTCAGGTACGTCAGCAGCACGTCGAGCTCCAACTAACTCAGTGGTTAGTGTATGAACTTACTGAACGAAAGGTCATTGGTTCGAAGCCAACCTCAAGCTCCTCGTTCGTTCCTGTCTAGACCCGGACAACGTGGCAGTATCTCAGCCTAACCATGAATTACATTGGTACACATAATCCAGCTCTCATGCTTCCTTCGAATAGCACGGCAAACAGGCACCGAAATGATGGAACCACCACTATTAATATTACTGTTATTATTCTTGTTATTATTACTACTAGTACGTCGGTGGTTCTTATGGGGCATGATTAACTCTTGCTTGAATTTGCCACACTCAGTACTGAAAGGCAAGGTTGCCCTTACTTCTTTCGTCTTCAGCCTTTTATCTATGCAATCATGAAAAACTCCTCTCCAGTGTACTCTACCTCTGAGGTCGAAATACTCCCAGGGCGTTTGTTTTCAGGTACATACCATGGCATCCTTCCTGACTCATACCCTGCTTGTTTGATTATTGGTTTTTTAAGGATTGTACAAGTTTGGTGAGAACATCAGATCAACGTTACCGACTGGTTTCCGGAGAAGCAGTTCATCGTCGACAGTTTGCACCGACTTAATCACTTATTTGCTCGCCAGTGAATCAACTTTCTCCACGTACTTAGAAGTAACCTAGGAGACGCTAGTTATTGACTCGGTAATTGGGTGTAAAGATCATTACCAGAAAACTCAGTCGCGCCGTTTCCCTGGATGAGCACCATAGTACGAGACGCATAAGCGAACACAGCCAGTCCATGGCTGCGTGGTGTCCTCCTGATTTCACGACCTCTGACTAGTGCTCATCACTACTATTTGATTCAACATTGAGTGGTATGAGGTACTCTAGAGCGCGTAGCTGTCCCCTGTCTTTCACAACCTGGGTGAGCGGAACGCTAGCAGCCAGTATCACTGTTCAGCAGTTTGCAGTGATGATCCAGTGGGGCTTTTTAAAATGAGATGCCCTAAAACATCGAAAATACTGAGGTCTATTCGGACATCACAATTAACTGAGCAATCACCGTAACCTGCAATAACTTCAGCTTACTGTTTGACTACCGCCCCTGTCACAACAAAGTTTGGGAACAATCGTTAAGCTTATTAAAATAACGTTTTGCTTTCGACACAAGTTTCGTCGGGCGAAGTGACTAGGTGACGAGGTTCGTCGAGATCTAAGGCGGAAGAAGATCCAATCACGTAATTCAAGCTAAATCTGTGTCACCAGTTTTCATACTCTTAATTTGGGGATCACAGTCACTACCCAGTTTTGAGGTACTGTGTACTTCGTTATGATTGTGGTTGTTCATGCTCGTTCATTTATTATCTTCCTTCTATGTCCACCACCGCAGGCGTGGTGACGCAGTTCTACTGAACGAACAATCTGGTCACCTACTTAGGACGAAACTGCTGCAGTCAAACGAAGGTGGGATTGCCGCGGGTTACGGTTGTCTGGATTCGCCTTTTCTCGTTTGACCTCCCCAAAAACGCTCATTTTGTGAAGTTTTTCTCAGACACTTGTGATTCAGTGGGATTTTTTTGCCAGGCTGCTTCAGACATTTCGCTGTTTTTTGACACATCTGATCAATCCAAATATGGATGTGCATCCTGTTCACTTTTCATTTGTCTGTCTGGTTGAGCCCAGCCCAATGGGGACAGATCTGTGTGATTATTCTTGTTATTCGACAATTCACTTTTCCAGGTAGTTCTTTACGACTGCGCCAATAAATTTATTTTTTCGCACATTTAACGTTCCGTAATCAGTCTTGAACAGCCAATGTTAGAGAACATTAAGTGGACTATATGTCATATGTAGAGACGATGATTATGGAGTTGTAGGTAGACCCATGAAGGTACGACCCATGGGATTTTAGTGTCATTGGATGATATCAAACAGTCACCTGACACTTTCGCCTTACAAGCATCAGTTGTAAAAAATTCAACCTGACGGCTTGATAATTACATCTTCTGCGAGAAAAGTTGATCGACCTACTCTCCGGTAATCCAGATCCCGGGGAATTCCAATACAAATGGTGGACGAAGCAAAAACCACTTGAACCTTGAGGTTTTAATTAAAACTTCTGCCTAAGGTGTAGATATTTTTTACATACCCTTTTAGATTGAAGTAGGCTTAAATGGTTGTTTGAATCGTTTGGCGCAGAATTAAATGAGTATTAACGATGTATGTCGCATACCATGCAACGCAACGTACAAGGAGCGATTCAGCCACTATGTAAACGGCATATTTATCGATTCATTTTTGATACGTAGGTGGTTCTGACATTTATCCGTGGATATCCTTTTTGCCTGGTTGTTGGCGGACTTTGAACAACTTGTCACACCTCAACGTGATGATCGAAGGCACCATTCGAATTCTCGGTGCAAGCATGATGTCCATCGTTTAAGTTGTATCTTTAAGGATTACTTCGTGTGCTGCCGCCAGAGAACCCTGTCTTCAGCAGTTACATGTAATCTCTCTGCTTCACCGTTTGGTTAACTTCCTATCTCAATGAAGAAAATGTATTGCTTTCTGCAAGTCTTTCTCCTAGAGGCTAGTTACTCCTAGACCAATCTATGATTCCTAGAGGATATGTAATCTCAAAAAAGGAAACTGAAATATACTGAGATGAGGCGCGCAGTGATGAAAACCAAAACGTTCCCAAGTCCCGACATCCGTAGACGAATTTTGTGTGTCCAGACAATGTTGTCCGGTTCGCGTTTTCCAAGTCCACGTACAACGATCCAATGAAGTAGTTTCTGACTTACGAAGTTGCAGTGCAATGACTTTAGCTTTTTGAGGGCTTTTTCAGTGACTAATGGGCATACCGTCTTTCAGCATCGTATTAATGTTCCTGCGCATCGTCGCCTTTCTACGAACCCGGTAGTCTCAGAACCATACGCACTGGCACCACCACAGTTTCCTCCAGTCCCGACTTTCCGTCGTATCACATGACCATGTTGTATAACGAAACTCCAATTATATAGTAAACATTTTCTATGCATCATGTCGGTATGATCAAATGTTTTCCCTGTCCCCAGTGAACTTGTGATCTTTATAAGGATGATTCCAGTGACGAAATCTTCTCTACCAGATTAACCAAATCTGACAACGCTGTGTTCTGTTTTGGCTTCCGTACATTATCCGTATCCACTTTATCTGTGGGGAATAAGAAACTAATCCTGCGTTCGCTCTTCCGTTTTGCCTCTTGGAAACCGGTCATTCAGTCCTACTCAACCGTGAATTTTGGAATAGATACGTAGGGCGAAACAAGTTTTAACAAAAACTGAATAAATACTTTTGGTTCCTCTAGTGAAACAACAGTCATCAGCAGTTATTTTCCTTTTTTGTTTTGACTACTCATGAGTGGCATGTTAACGCCTGTTCAGTTTCCTTGCTGCTCGTTTCCTCCGTTTTCGCTCCTGCTTAGGGTCGGCTCATTCTGTAGTACTCGATGTCAAGAATTGTTGCCTATTCGTTTTCGCTTGCAAGTTCTTGTCAGCTCTACCTATTTCTGAGTGTCTGTTCTGACTAACCCGGAGCTCTTGAGACGGTAAGCGAGCGTGCTATCCGCTACACCGACTCGATGCCTCAGGAGATCCTATTTTTTGTATACCTTTATACCGCATCTGCCAGATAGCCTTCGCTGAGATTTGTTTTAAACGGACTGGAGCGCAGAATCTGATTCGGCAGGTGACACGGGCTGATTAATCTCACCGGCAGCCAAATTCAGCTCCTTGTCTCCCGAAGGCACTGATTGATTTCTGAGCCGTTATCTCTGTATACACTGACTGACTGCCGTGTCTCTACGTTTGAGCATCATCTGGTACTTACATGCGACCGCTTCCAGACGGCCCTGGTGCCTCACTCACCAATTTTCTGTCCTTACTGGTTGCGCTATTATTGATTGGTTAATTCTTGGTTAATTCACGATGTCCCAAATCACTACATTAAACTCACTACTAGATAGTGTTAGTAGCTTAATCCACACAATGCAGTGCATCTTATCAACCGACCAAAAGTGCCCTTTCCCGAGAGGCGGTCACTCGAGGGGAATCAATCCACAAGTAACTCAGAATGGGTAATAATTCATATGATGAGTGAAAACTCCTCTAAATCATCATTGAAGGGGCCAGTCAACACGTGATGTGAATTCAATGACTGAAGGTTGGGCGGTTCTGTTGGTTGATCAAGTAGCTATATATCCCATCTAAACGCGGGTTGATCGCAGCGCTGATCAGCCGCTACTCGCCGAATGGTTGTGTTTAAACGACCGACCGGATGTTGCGGGCGTGAAACTCCCCTAGAGTTTCGCGAGGTATGCATCTCCAATGGTGTCGATGTTGCTGAATGTAGGCAACACGGGTGAGGGCTTGGTTCCCCGAGCTTCGCAGTCGGATTTTAAACGTTTCATCACCAATCGAGGAGACACCGTCATTGAGCAGTTGAGTTATACCCATCCAAGGGTCTAATGAACGTCAACGTTGATGTTACTTTTCGGCACTTTGGTTGTTGCTTGGGGAGTTTGGTATTCTTCGATGAACCGATCAGCTGCTTGACCGCTGTATCCGAGTATATCCTACTTGAATATTAGTCTGATTCCATGGGTTGACGTAAGGACTACCGCACACTCGTACTGCATTGGTCAGGAACTCATTAATTTCCAATAAAGCCCAGTCAATCTTGCTCTCCAGCACACAGAATGGGACGTTAACGCCGCTGTTCTAGCTATCTAACCCCGCAAAAGCGGGGAGTTGTCATTTTCCAAATCTCAGCTGGACAGAATATTCTGATGGAGTGCCAAAAATAGGTAAACGGTGCTCTGCCTGTCTCACTTCTTGCGATGAGTAAGCTATCATGCTAATATCTCATATCGACCTCTATAGATTGCTCAATTTTTGCTGTAAGATTGTTGGTCTGGTTTGGTTCCCAAGATCTCTACATACCGACACCAACTTACTTCCGGTCGGTGCTCTGGAAATACAGCATGACATTCCCAGTACATATTTAAACGATGTGTCTAGGAGTGAGGATGGGGAGAATGATGAAAAGTGGGTGACATTCCAAAAAACCTAAAACGCGCAGTTTCACTCACAGGAACATCGCTTAATGACAGCGAATCACACGAATACCAGATTTTTGAACGCGCTATGAAAGTTCAGGGGTGCTCTTCATGCAGTATTTAGTAAGCATTTTTCTGACGACCTTGAACATAGCTACCGTCCCTTAAGCTAGTTGATGATAGGGTAAACTAGCCATAGGCAAAATTGAACGAGAAAGTGCATTCGGTTCGCGTTTTTGAGAATCGATAACCTAGAAGTTTATCAGGGCCGAGAGGCTCATGCATATGATTACACCCAGTCTGATATAGAACCGTGTGATAAACGAACACGTAGCTCACGATCCGTTTGTTTTTACACCATTCATATGTGCAGTTGTTTATTGACTGGAAGATTGTACCTATCGACTAAAGTTGTGCTGAGTTTATACACGTAATCCACTGTGAGTAGGATAATGGCGCCGGTACTGGCTCCAGTACTGTAGTTGTTACTTCCTATTCCTCGCCTCCTTTGTTATCTCCACATTGTCCCTCTAGACCGAGCGTGGCTGGCCGTGTTAGTTTCCACAGGCATATATATAGAGATTCCGTCAGATTCAACTTAGCAACCGAGATACTAGAACAACAGACTGCGATAGAGATGAAAGAGTTGAGTATTAGAAAACGGAAGTTAGCGTCTCGGGAGCGAACGCTGTTGGACTACGAGTCCTCTGACGACGAAAGGTCGGTCACAGACGACTGTGAACGTGGGTTTTCATCTAGTCGACAGAATGTCGAGAGGTCTATTATGAAAGTCGACCTGGAAGAAGCAGAGTGTCTAAGGCCTTCAGCAAATCACTGTAGAAAGGGTGTCGTCTCCGGGATTCTAACCGCGGCACACGAAACGGATGACCCGTATGTTGCCCACCATGACATGGTACTCGGTGTAGGTTCACCAAAAAGTAGAGATAGACAGTTTGACAGCAATCCTATGGGATTTTGGAAGTTTGAAAAGAACTTCCAACCGACTGTAGCTGATCGACTGTTATACGATGGTAGCAAGTTGGTGTAACTTCTTCACTGATGCTGTGGAAAAGCGAAAGACGCCAAAGCATTGCTCATACAAGGCGCACCCAAATTTTTAATCATGCAAGTGTTACTTTCAAGGCTTTCTCGGAATTGCCAATCAGTTTCATACAAGTTTCTGGGCAAAAAACGTCGCAGTCAGTACATCAACACTGCGTCTTGGGGTTCTAGTCAAAATCACAATCAGTCGTTGCATTTATTGCGTTATAAAAAGTAAAATTCAACGACCATTCAATCCATGTGTCCTAATCATTCTAGCGAAGCACCAAACACTAAAGCCTCCAAATCTATTAGGATGTTTTAAGTTCAGGTAGTCAAGGATCCGGGAGATGCTCCTGGCGATCAGATGTTTTCTTTATTCCAGGGTGTGACCAAAGCACCGCAGAAACGCAGGGCATTTCCTCGAATTAGCTCATGACAGTAAACCGTGTAATGCCATAGGCTGACAGGATGAACTGGAGAAAAGTATGCTATGGTTGGGTATTCTCAGTGGTATCGAAGGCAGCGTTCATCCGATCAGAAATATATTCTTGTTGGTTCGGAGTCTGACCTGCGCAAAGCTTATCAGGAGGTGTCGAAATTCAGTTCAAATCGGAGACATGACGATGCCTTCGACAA